TTTGAAAATGTTGTTATTTTGGACATGCTTGTCAGTTTTCATCAAACTTGGTACATAGATATACATGTAGGATACATGTCCATGATGATTATTTCACAATGGATCAAAGATGGCCGTCTGGCAGCCATCTGTTTTTGAAAATGTCGTATTTTGGACATGCTTTGTCAGTTTTCATTCAAATTTAGTACATAGATCATACATGTTAGGATACATGTCCCCGACCGTCCGTGAGTTCTGAGTTTGTCTGTCCGACCGTCCGTGTGTCCGTCTGTCCGTGTGTCAGTCTATCCAACGTCATATTTCAGAATCCTGTGGACCGATTCCGTTCATTCTTTGCATGTGCCTAGTACCTTATTTGGGACATATGCACATGCAGTGGTTTAGCGATTCAATTCAAAATGGCCGACTGGCAGCCATCTTGTTTTTTGAAAATGTTGTATTTTGGACATGCTTTGTCAGTTGTCATTCAAACTTGGTACATAGATTATACATGTTAGGATACATGTCCATGACGATTTATTTTGCAATTGGATCAAAGATGGTCGACTGTTTTTGTTTTTTTATGCAATATCTTGGACGTGCTCTGTCAGTTTTCATTCAAATTTGGCACATACATGTACTTTATACATGTTAGGATGCATGTCCATGACAATTCGTTTCAAAATCTGGTCAAGGATGGCCGATTGACAGCCATCTGACTTTTTGGCCTTACTACTATATTTCCACAATTTATGTACCATTCTCATTCGTATTTGGCACATACATCATACATATCAGTGTGTTTCATAATCAGATCAAAGATGACTGAATAACGACTGTTTTTATTTTGGCCATATTACTATGACACGAAACACGTGTTTTGATGTAAATAAACAATCTGTTGTATATGCCACTTGGAACTCAAGTTTCAAGGACATGCTCGCGACAACCCCTCCGCTTTAATATGACGAGCACAAAGAGAACTTAACGGGGACTGTGTCATTTTCAATGACTTGTGTTCTGTTAGTCACAGGAATCCATGAGAGCAAAGATTAAGTTAGAAAAAGAACTGAATCAAGCACAGGTTATCATTGATGATTTATCACGGCAGAAAAATGCTCTACAAGCGGAAATGGAACAAGTTCGAGAATTAGCAGTAGAAGGTAATGCTAAATCAGGATGCTGTTGAAATTCTATGAAATGAATTTATAAAAACAAAAACTAAAATAATGACAGTTATATTTACCCCTGTTGTGGCACTGGGATTATTTCACAAGATACATAATAGACTTCCTTCAGATTCACAGTAAATCACTAACAAATTGTGACAAAGTAACATAATTTGTTAAAAGTTGAAAATGTCTTTGTTCTTATATTATACCATGTTCTACAATTACAGCAGTTCTATTTTTCGTAAGATCTTGAAATTGCAACGAGCACTATTACTTTCCATTAAACTGTACACATTGATGGTTAATTTCTGTTTTGCTCAATTTATGATTTTCAGAATCTAAGATGAAAGATCTAAGCGAGAAGACCCATGTTATTAATGATAGCCACATTTCTGGTCCTTACATGGTGACTGACTTGGATTCATTGAGTACAAAGGATATATCTCAGATGAAAACACCGCCCAAAGCTGCAGCACCTCAAAGATCAGACAGTTTTAAAAAAGTGCAGGTATGTGAATTTTTGTTTTCATTTCGAAATACTACTTCCAATATGCTTAGTAACGACATTGAAAGGTTTACACAGAGTAGAATAATGGTGATTTCAAACTTTCAAATTTGTTAGCTGAATGCAGACCACGCCCGTCATTTTCGAAACGTACATTTCAGGCAAATTCTTTACAAAGTTGTCCAATTTTTATTGAAAATTACCTGTAAAATACAAGATAACCGTAAGTAATCAACAAAAACTATACTATGAAACTGGACTATAAATCTATTGCTACAAACTAGCAACTGCTAATTTTCATTTTGATAAAATTTTTTTAGACAGGCACTGTTAATTTTAACCCAGCTGCAAACACATAGGCATTGCTGTGATTGCTAAATATTGCTGAAATGTACCCAAATCATAATCAACAATACAATATGAAAGTCTCTTGTAGAATGAATATCTTTTAATCTTTGTAGAAAATGAAGAAACAAGTACAACAACTAGCACAGCCACCTCCTGCAACACAGAGATCTTATTCTGCCACTCCTCCTAAAGATCAGACTTACACAACAACACAGCTAGTTTCATCAGCTCCATCTAGAAGCAAGACTAAACCTATACAAGTCATTTCACCTATGCAACAGCCAAACCGACCCCCTCCACCCAAGTATTACCAAACAGGATCCGACTCCCCGGCTGATGCTACTCAGTACACTCCTAAATCCAGTGCCAGCCATCCACGTACAGTTAGTGCAAGCGACAAGTCGAAACATACTATGAGAGAAGTGAAACGAGAGTCTGAACGGCGGAGTCGTGAAAAGGAAATGAAGAAAGTCAATGGGGATGAGCTGCGGCAGAGATCATCTTCAGCAGATAGAACATATACAAGTCCTGCAAGGAAATCGCGAACACTGCCTTCAAGGAGGTATATGGGGGTTCAAAGATCTCCTGATGGTAGAAGCAACTCACTTGGTGGGAGATGTAAGTGTTGGCTATTGGCTGGATGTAGTCATGTGATTATAATCTAAGCAGCTAATTGGTTGATTGTCAGATCAAACTCTTATTTTTTTTTTCATAGACCAGTGATGTAGTATGCAAGCATGTATAATCAACAAAAACAATATGCTTCTCTAACCTGCTCAGACTTTTCATGCACTCTTTTGTATTTTTTCAGATGATGCTTACCCTCGTTTAACTGATCAGCTTCGAACCACTGGGCGGCCATCAAGTGCAAATTCTGATTCTGAAAGGACCACCACTACCGTTACAACAAGACGACAGAGAACGCTGTCAGCTGGAGAAGATCCAATTATGCATAGAAGTAGGGTTGAAGCCCCTCTCCAGTCAGCTCCCCCACCGATACCAAACGAGTACAGAAGACAAGGTGGATTGAGATCTACAGATGGCGTAAATGTAAGTTCTGTCCTTTTTGTGCAGCATGCTGTTTTGAATACGCATAATGCAGTGTTAGTTTTATCAGGAAGATGATAGTCTTTCCCAGCTGGATTGATGTGATATACATCGCATATATGGAATTAAGCTGTGATGGTTCATTTTATCACAACTGTGCCTATTCTACTGTGATGTTATTCTGTTCTCTGCTTGGTTTTGATGTACATCACGCACATCATAATGTACTTCAGTACATTCAAATACACTTTGTCTATAAAATAATAAACTGGGTCTTAGCAAATACTTTTTTGTCACAAAATGCGTTGAACTATGACCAAGCCCAAGACTAAATTTGGTTTGTCATTTTACTGTATTTACTTCCTTGCCTTCAAATGCACACTGGGTTTTTAGCAGCTTTCTAAAAAAAAAAGAAAGACGCGATATAATACCTTCGTTGTTTGTCACACACACACATGCAGTTACATCTACAGTGTGGCTTTAATACTATTTAAAGCAAGGGAGTCGTCACCTGCGCATGCGTCAGATAGCCATAGCGTGTCATTGTTTACAAACAAGCGGCTACCCATGAGCCTTTGTGTTTTTAGCGTGTAGTGTTCTTATCATCGCATGGGACTCAATTCCTGCGGGTGCTCATGTGACGACCCTCCTGATTTAAGCAAGCTATTTCAGTTCCTATGTTTATGCATGCATGTCTATTTTTTTGGGTTAAATTTATTTAATTTTACTTGCTAACTCCTTACAGCCAAGAATAAGATCAAAGAGTGCTATTGAGCGTGCTGCAGTACGGGCAAAAAGATCCCAAACGTTACCTAGTGGTTTAAATGCAGACAGTCGGTATATAGTATCTGATGTGGACTCCTCTCAGGCATGTGGTGATAACTCAATATAGTTTGTGATTGATAATGCTTGCTGTTATCGTTTATTGCATGAATCTGTCATAGTTTATTTGCTGTCTCCCAATGCATGAATTATGCTGTCATTCTTAACATCTCATTAACAT